GATCCTAACAAACCATACATCAATGGAAAGCTTGTTTATTCAGCTTTTAGATGATGTAAACATCTCAATTTCAAAAAATTGACCCTTATGACTGGGTTTGTGCTCCAGGGTCACATATATTACTTTAATTTACACTACCATTCAAAAGTTTGGGCTCAGTGCGTTTTTTGAAGGATTTTACTACTTTTATTGAGCATGGATGCATTAAATTGATAGAAAGTGACAGTAAAGACTTTTATAATTTGACAAAATATTTCTATTTCAGGTAAATGCTTATTCATCAAGGAGTCCTGAAAAATAAAATGTATCACAGTTTCCACAATAATATGAAGCAGCACAACTGTTTTCAACATTGATAATAATCAGAAATGTTTCTTGAGCAGCAAATCAGCATATTAGAATGATTTCTGAAGATCATGTGACACTGAAGACTGGAGTAATGATGCTGAAAATTCAGCTTTGATCACAGAAATAAATTACATTTTAATATATATTCAAATAGAAAACAGCTATTTTAAATTCTAATAATATTTCACAATTTTAGTGTTTTTACTGTATTTTTGATCAAATAAATGGTAAGCATAAGAGAATTCTTTCAAAAATATTGAACTTTTGAACGGTAGTGTTCAAATACCTGTGTACATTTTATTTTTATTTGTAAACTTCTGTCAGTTCTATTATTTTTTTGGACATATTATGATATATAGTTTATACACTTATATAATTTTTAAATATATAATTGTATAATGTGTACTAGCTTTTTTTTTATAGTTTACAGTTTAATTTTTGGATTATTTTTAATGTATTTATTCATTTTCTGTTTGCCATTTTCCTAATTTAGTTGTTTAAATATTTTTATTCTACTACTACTACTCTGGACTTAAGTATGCCTGACATATAACTTTATTTTTACTTTTATTTGATTTATTTTTTATGTTCAGTATTGGATTGGTGTAATAAATTTTCTTCACGCTTATTTTGCCATCTACTATTTTTGTGTTTCATGACAAATAAAAAATACTGTCCTGTACATTAAATATAACTTTTACTACATCAAATTACAGTTTGTCAAAAAGATTTATTTCTAAGCCAACATGGATCTTCTGGATGCTTTGAACGTCCATCGTATCATTTTGCATGTTTCATGACGGTCTGCTCACCTTTCTTGTTCTTCTCTTTGGTGACCACGGTCATGGCCATAGTGTTGCCGGGCGCCTGCGGCTCGCTGGCTCCTCCTCCTGGCAGACGGCTGACCTGCAGCGACCAGAAGGCGCTCTTCAGAGTGTTCTTACAGCCGGTGTCTCTCCTCTCGCCCTCGCGACGCTTCTCCGCCAGAGACGCCAGCCAGTAATCCACCTGCAGACCGATGGCGTCCCCGCCGTGAGACAAGCTGGGACTCCTGAGACAGACACATCACATCACAACACAGCAGCGCAGCCAGACACTTACACAGTTGTGTTCTGCATTGCTAGATTTCTCTCTGATTGTTAAATTTCTACATTAAAAGTGCAGGAATAGGCAGTTTTGAAGCATTTTATTCTTCTTAAAAGGTTGGACCACCAATAAAAGTACTAACATTACTAAACTTAAAACGGAAATACATTTAAACTAAAGCTAAATAGAAATACAATAAAAAATAATTTAAAAAATGAAACATAACGCAAAATGACAAACTATAATCTAAAATTAAAAGTAAATATAAAAATAAAAGCTAATTCTAAATAACGTTATAATATTATAGTAAATAATAAATAAAATAACGCTGCAAAGCACACAGCATTAAACACAAAAACCCATTTCCACTGTGATAAATTAACTTAATGGCTATTTGGTCAGACATTTAACACATTTAAAATTAAAAATGCAAATGTTTTTTTTTTCAGTTTTCAATCACTTGAAATTCATTACTTCAGACTTATGTGCCTTTAGAAGCTTGCGTTCTGCAAGTGAACGTCGCTTTATTGTTCATCCCAAAGAAGCACAAAATCACTTTCACAGACTTTTACATTAACTGTTCCCTCCTGGTGGAATGACCTGCCCAACTCAGTCCCAGCAGCTGAGTCCTTTACCATCTTCAAGAATCGGCTAAAAACACATCTCTTCCATCTTTATTTGACCCTCTAACTCTAGCACTCTCTATTCTAATTCTATTCTTTATTAAAAAAAACGCCCCTTTTAGACTTGCACTCTATTCATTTACTAACTTTAAAATTAGTAATAATATAGTTATAATTAGGGATGCACGATATTATCGGACCATAATCGGCCGATAATGGCTTTAAATGTAAATATCGGCATTGGGGCCAGATATGAAAAATTATGCCGATATGTCCTGCCGATAAGAGGAATACATTAACTCACATGTGCTCAGGGTGTGCTAGCGATTAGATCACGTCAGCAGTGTGGCTCATTCTTGAAGCAAAGTTTGGCCTGAATGGTGATTAGATTCACTGTTTTGATCGCTGCATTTAAACTGAGAATGCAGGTACAGAATGAAGCGTTCGGTGTGTGATAGAGTAACAGTAACAGCACGTGCAGCGGCAGCCTCCCCCGGGTCCTAATGCCTGCTCTGTAAGGAGTTTTAATTCTGTAGGGGGCGCTGTTGGCCTACTTCTAATAAAATGAAAGCAAAATACACAAATAATATTTAGACTGTGTTTCTGATTAAATAAAGCAGTAATTGATGCCATAAAATCATGAGTATGTTTTGAGTATTTAAAGGTCAGAAGCTATAGCTTACAGGAACAAACAAAAAAAATCACAAACATGACACTTAAATTAATTAATTTAATATATACTGATTTATTCATTAATGTGCAATATGTTATATTTTTAAAACAAATTATGAGCTCTAAAAGATTTTCAGAATTTTTACAACTCTTTTGCTTTAGACCATTTACAAATGTTAAATCTTAAAATAAAATGTTAAGGTTACTACTGCATCTTTCTGAAAAAAATGCAGTGATTAATATATAGTTTATTTATAGTTATTTTTAAATATTCAATGTACTGTCATTATAAAAGAACTTTATTATTGTTTATTTAATTCTAACAAATAAGTTATTGTTAAAAACTAACCAAAATTAAAAATAATTATATATAGGTATAGCCATAATATTACATACATCGGTTATCGGCCAAAATTAGTTGAAAATTATCGGCATATCGGCAAAAGTCCAATATTGTTCATCCCTAATTATAATATTTACACATACCATTTTGTTCTTCTAAAAAGGTTGAACATTAGTAAAAGTTTAAGTTGAAGTATACTAATATTACAAAAACCTAAACTGAAATAAACTACTACTAAATTGAAATATTAAAAATAATGAATAATCAAAATGACAAAAAACTAAATGACTAAAACTATAAACTAAAATCAAAATAAAAAATGAATATAAAAATAAAAGCTAAGTTAAATTATTAATGAATACTATAATAGTATATAAACAATAGGCTACTTTCATGGGAAAAAAATTTAATAATCATCCCATCAATAAGAATTTAAATGTTGTATAAAACACGTATAGAGGCGATTGTGAATGGAGGTTATAATGTTGATTGCATTAGGATGGGTGATTATAGGGTGACGGGTTATTTAGGATAAAAAACAAACAAACAAACATTTGGTTGGTGTTCAATTTGTTGTGAATTTGTTATATTGTAAGGAATATATAAAAATATATAGATACAGATGCAATATAATATATTAAAAGATATACTGGAATGTTATAGAATTGTATATGGAGTGAGAAAAATAATAGGCTTTTGCTTCATCCCGCTCCTTTTCAGACATTTTGTAATGTACACCCTCTTATGGACGTGGGTTTTCTTTGGTGTTGCAACACATTTGTTGTGTTTGTATATTTTGTTTTATATTGTGCTTTGTTCAAAACAAAAAATTAAAATCAAATGAGAATTAAATCAATAGAAATCACATTATAGTAGCCAGAAATTGTTCAGAAATTGTTTTAGTTTTATTTACTAAAACAAAAACAGAAATAAATAAATGAATGCTGAATATAAATATTACAAAGAAAATAATTAAAATACAAATACCAATAAAAAAAATATATATATAAGCCAAAATTTTAATGAAAATTAAAAATATAAAAAATAAAAGCTAATTCAAAATATTAATAATACTAATACATATATTTGTGACCCTGGAGCACAAAAGCAGTCTTAAGTCGCTGGGGTATATTTGTAGCAATAGCCAACAATACATTGTATGGGACAAAATTATCAATTTTTCTTTTATGCCAAAAATCATTAGGATATTAAGTAAAGATCATGTTCCATGAAGATATTTTGTAAATCTCCTACCGTAAATATATCAAAACTTAATTTTTGATTAGTAATATGCATTGCTAAGAACTTCATTTGGACAACTTTAAAGATGATTTTCTCAATATTTAGATTTTTTTTGCACCCTCAGATTCCAGATTTTCAAATAGTTGTATCTCAGCCAAATATTGTCGTATCATAACAAACCATTCATCAATGGAAAGATTATTTATTCAGCTTTCAGATGATGTATAAATCTCAATTTTAAAAAATTTACCCTTATGACTGGTTTTGTGCTCCAGGGTCACATATTATATATAATTGTATATTAAGAGGTTGAACCACCAAAAACTACAGCTAAATGGTGACAAAGTTGGTTTCACATGGTTTCTACTGGGTTTAACAGTCGATCAGCTGGACTTCCAGGTGGTGGGTACTGAACAGGTAGACCACCTTGGATCAGCAAAAACCAGCCCGAGCTGCTTTATTCAGCACGACCTGCTTGCTCCAGCAGGATTAGCAAGTCATTCGTGAAACCTTGTGACGCTAGAAATTCCCTCAACAATGAGCCGATCCTGAAGTCACTCACCCCTGCACTGCCAAACCGCCGCCCATGGGTGTGTGTATATGTGTGTGTGTGTGTGTGTATTGTGTACCCGTCTGCGGTGGCTCTGATCGGTTGAATGTGTCTCTCCAGGCTCCGTCTAGAAAGGCTGCGCTGTAACGGTTGTCAAGGGCACCCAGGTGCTTAGCAACAGGATGAGAACCTGACCCAGTTTAAAGAAAGAAGAATACAAACAGAAACACTGAAATTAACATCCAAGAATATCCACATCAAAAAACAAAAAGAAATCATATCTATCTATCTATCTATCTATCTATCTGTCTGTCTGTCTGTCTGTCTGACACACACACACACACACACACACACACACACACACACTCATGTACCTGTCCTTGCCAGTCTGTGCCATTGATCAGGATGAGACTTTCAGGAAGAGCAGCATCAGATAACAGAATCTGATTCAACTGATCATAGACAGCCTTCCTGAGGACCTGCAAACACACACACACACACACACACACACAGCGATGAATCAGCCAAGCATGAATAATTCACAGTGACTCTGCAGAACAAGATGAAACACTGCATTAACATTCCTTATTTAAAAAGCAAAGAGAGCAAAGAATTTGAGGGAATCCGAGGAGAACTGTGTTTGGAGAAAGAGAGAAACCCTGTTTACACCTGTCAGTAAAGGCCATACATTACAGGAATAGTTCACCCAAAAATGAGAATTTCCTGAAAATGTCCTCACCCTGATGCCATCCAAGATGTAGATGAGTTTGTTTCTTCATCAGAACAGATTTGGATAAATTTAGCATCACATGACTTGCTCAGCAATGGATGCTCTGCAGTGAATGGGTGCCGTCAGAATGAGAGTCCAAACAGCTGATAAAAACATCACAATAATCCACAAGTAATCCACACCACTCCAGTCCATCAGTTAATGTCTTGTGAAGCGAAGATGCATGTTTGTAAGAAACAAATCCATCATTAGGATGTTTGTAACTTTAAACTGTTGCTTCTGGCTAAAATATGAGTCCATAATCCATAATAACACTTCCTCCAGTGAAAAGTTTCCTGTTGTCTCTCACATCAACACATATTTGTTTAGAACTGTTTTGGCTTGTAAACAGCGCTTGATCTGTGCAGATTTCTGTGCACGATTCCAACAAGATGACTTTTTCACTGGAGGAAGCATTATTATGGATTATGACGGAAGCAACGGTTTGAAGTTAAAATGTCTTAATGGTGGATTTGTTTCTTACAAACAAGCAGCTTTTCACTTCACAAGACATTAACTGATGGACTGGAGTGGTGTGGATTATTGTGATGTTTTTATCAGCTGTTTGGACTCTCATTCTGACGGCACCCATTCACTGCAGAGCATCGATTGCTGAGCAAGTGACGTAATGCTACAAACTCATCTACATCTTGGACGGCCTGAGTGTGAGTAAAGTTTCGTTTCTGGCTGAACCATTGCTAAATACAGACGTAAACTGAGTCTAAATCCTGGTACCTGTGTGCTGTGTCCGAGCTCTGGCGATCGCTCGCTGTCGGAGCTGTTGGCTCGTTCGCTCAGCGGTTTGGAGAGCTGTCGGTCTTTCACAGGAGTGCTGCGCTTACGGGGTGTGTGTCCTCCATCCAACCTACAACACACACACACACACACACACAGACACACACACACAGACACACACACACACACACACACACACACACACAGACACACACAGACAGACACACACTCACACACACGCACAGGCACACACGCACACAGACACACACACACACACACACACACACACACGGACAGACACACACTCACACACACGCACAGGCACACACGCACACAGACACACACACACACACACAGACACAGGCAGACACAGACACAGACACAGACACACACAGACACACACAGACAGACACACACTCACACACACACACACACACACACACACGGACAGACACACACTCACACACACGCACAGGCACACACGCACACAGACACACACACACACACACAGACACAGGCAGACACAGACACAGACACAGACACACACAGACACACACAGACAGACACACACTCACACACACACACACACACACACACACGGACAGACACACACTCACACACACGCACAGGCACACACGCACACAGACACACACACACACACACAGACACAGGCAGACACAGACACAGACACAGACACACACAGACACACACAGACAGACACACACTCACACACACACACACACACACACACACGGACAGACACACACTCACACACACGCACAGGCACACACGCACACAGACACACACACACACACACAGACACAGGCAGACACAGACACAGACACAGACACACACAGACACACACAGACAGACACACACTCACACACACACACACACACACACACACGGACAGACACACACTCACACACACGCACAGGCACACACGCACACAGACACACACACACACACACAGACACAGGCAGACACAGACACAGACACAGACACACACAGACACACACAGACAGACACACACTCACACACACACACACACACACACACACGGACAGACACACACTCACACACACGCACAGGCACACACGCACACAGACACACACACACACACACAGACACAGGCAGACACAGACACAGACACAGACACACACAGACACACACAGACAGACACACACTCACACACACACACACACACACACACACGGACAGACACACACTCACACACACGCACAGGCACACACGCACACAGACACACACACACACACACAGACACAGGCAGACACAGACACAGACACAGACACACACAGACACACACAGACAGACACACACTCACACACACACACACACACACACACACGGACAGACACACACTCACACACACGCACAGGCACACACGCACACAGACACACACACACACACACAGACACAGGCAGACACAGACACAGACACAGACACACACAGACACACACAGACAGACACACACTCACACACACACACACACACACACACACGGACAGACACACACTCACACACACGCACAGGCACACACGCACACAGACACACACACACACACACAGACACAGGCAGACACAGACACAGACACAGACACACACAGACACACACAGACAGACACACACTCACACACACACACACACACACACACACGGACAGACACACACTCACACACACGCACAGGCACACACGCACACAGACACACACACACACACACAGACACAGGCAGACACAGACACAGACACAGACACACACAGACACACACAGACAGACACACACTCACACACACACACACACACACACACACGGACAGACACACACTCACACACACGCACAGGCACACACGCACACAGACACACACACACACACACAGACACAGGCAGACACAGACACAGACACAGACACACACAGACACACACAGACAGACACACACTCACACACACACACACACACACACACACGGACAGACACACACTCACACACACGCACAGGCACACACGCACACAGACACACACACACACACACAGACACAGGCAGACACAGACACAGACACAGACACACACAGACACACACAGACAGACACACACTCACACACACACACACACACACACACACGGACAGACACACACTCACACACACGCACAGGCACACACGCACACAGACACACACACACACACACAGACACAGGCAGACACAGACACAGACACAGACACACACAGACACACACAGACAGACACACACTCACACACACACACACACACACACACACGGACAGACACACACTCACACACACGCACAGGCACACACGCACACAGACACACACACACACACACAGACACAGGCAGACACAGACACAGACACAGACACACACAGACACACACAGACAGACACACACTCACACACACACACACACACACACACACGGACAGACACACACTCACACACACGCACAGGCACACACGCACACAGACACACACACACACACACAGACACAGGCAGACACAGACACAGACACAGACACACACAGACACACACAGACAGACACACACTCACACACACACACACACACACACACACGGACAGACACACACTCACACACACGCACAGGCACACACGCACACAGACACACACACACACACACAGACACAGGCAGACACAGACACAGACACAGACACACACAGACACACACAGACAGACACACACTCACACACACACACACACACACACACACGGACAGACACACACTCACACACACGCACAGGCACACACGCACACAGACACACACACACACACACAGACACAGGCAGACACAGACACAGACACAGACACACACAGACACACACAGACAGACACACACTCACACACACACACACACACACACACACGGACAGACACACACTCACACACACGCACAGGCACACACGCACACAGACACACACACACACACACAGACACAGGCAGACACAGACACAGACACAGACACACTCACACACAGACACAGACACACACACGTCTGAGCTGTCTGAGGCTGAATGATCTGAGAGCTGGACGAGCCGCCCCTCCGTTAACACCACAGCTGGCATCACCGCGATCTTTACACCCTCACATATACTTTATAGATTACTCAGATTTATTCTCTGGCTTTTGGTGGCCAATTCTAGCCTGTCTTTTATTTTACTTTGGGCAACTTGATTGATATTGAGAGTTGATATGGAAAACCTTGAGAGTTGATATTTTGGAAAATCCTAGTGCCTACATTCAAATACATTATACATTTTTGGACTATATGTGACCCTGGACCACAAAACCAGTCTTAAGTGTAAATTTTTCGAAATTGGGATGTATACATCATCTGAAAGCTGAATAGATATGGTTTACATTGATGTATGGTTTGTTAGGATAGGACAATATTTGGCTGAGATACAACTATTTGAAAATCTGGAATCTGAGGGTGCAAAAAAATCTAAATATTGAGAAAATCATCTTTAAAGTTGTCCAAATTAAGTTCTTAGCAATGCATATTACTAATCAAAAATTAAGTTTTGATATATTTACGGTAGGAAATTTACAAAATATCTTCATGGAACATGATCTTTACTTAATATCCTAATGATTTTTGGCATAAAAGAAAAATCAATAATTTTGACCCATACAATGTATTTTTGGCTATTGCTACAAATATACCCCAGCGACTTAAGACTGCTTTTGTGCTCCAGGGTCACATATAGTATAAAATATAGACAGAGATAAGCATGAAATTGTAAAGAGAACAAAAAAAAGTTTGAATCCTTTCCTAAAATTGTAGTGGTACAACTAAATATAAAATAAAATATTCATATAAAATATTAATTTGTTAAACTTATAGTACACAAATATAAAATACAAAGAAAAAATATTCTACAAATTATTCAACATTACTCATCTTTGTTTGGTTAAACTCATTTTACTAAAATATAATTACAATGAAATAATTAAAACTAATAAATAAAAAAGTAATGAAAACAATATAACAAAATTTTTTTTTTATAAATAAAACCATGACAAAAACACCAAAATTCCTAAAGTAAAAACAAAAAATATATAAAACAGAAAATGACGAGGAGAACAAAAAAGTTTAAACCCTTTTACAATCCAAGCAGTCCATAGCAAACTACATACAAACTAAAATATATATATATATATATATATATATTATATTAAAATAAAAAATAGCATAAAAATGAAATTCTAAAAATACAAATATACTTAAAAATTCTATATTAAAAATATAATAGTTGCGTGTCGTTTTTATATTCTAAATAATTGAAATAATAGTTTAAGTGTTCCTTTAATCGGTGAAAGAAACTCATTTAGATTCTGAATTCTGATTCTTTATGTTTATTCCGAAAATTTGATATAAAAATCCAAGAGAGACAAAAAGTCCTTTAGTGCCTTCAAACGACGTGTTGTTACCGAGAGAAAAGATACGTTATACATTATACCTTATACATTTCTAATGTTTAAACACTTTCTTCTGAATCAGTTTTAATACACAGAGTCATGCTTTGCACTCTTTTTCCACGCATGCATGTGGTGCTTTCAGACTGCTCGGGTTTGCTGAGGAGCGTGGAGGAGCTCTGTCTGACAGTCATTGTGTTTTGTGATATATGTAGTGTCTGTACTCACAGGACTGAAGGGCTCTCTGCTCAGACTGCTTTTACTGTTCAAGCTGCCGATCTCCGTCTGAGAGCTCGACTGGGACATTCCCTCGAAGAACGGCCTGCGAAAGACACACAGAGAGAGGGATCTGTTAAAACATGAATAAAGGCAAACTCGCTCGGTCATTACTTACTGCTAAACTCAGAGCATCTGTCTGTGAGGCACAAAGATTAAAGAAGCTAAACACTAACTCAGCAGACAGCAGAGAACATCCAAACGGTAAACAACTTCAGAAAACATGAAATACAGCACACATCATACGGTCTCCTTTCATGGTGATTTTTGTTCATATTGATGCCTCATATATAAATGCAGAGATGCAAACAGGTAATAAGGAGGAAAAAAGGTGAGAACATCGTGCGGATCGGGGGCATGCTTTTAAAGATATTTGCTTTACATGCTCATTTGTAGTTACTTTAAGGTTTTTTTTATTTTTTATTAAGTAATGTCCAAAACGAATTTTTCACAATCAACATATCAAAATATCAACAAAATTACTATTTCCCCCTGACATATTCATGGTAATTATGTTTGCCGGTGCTTTGCGGTAAGCTTTAGCCTATTGATACTAAACAGCTACTAAACAGAGACGCTCTTGACAGTCGCTGTAGCACGGTCTCGTGTTGTTTCCATCAGAGAGGCAATTTTTTTTCATCACTAATTGATGGATGTCTAAAATATAAAAATTAGGAGATGCCTAAAACAGGCCCGAAGCCCACCCTGAGGGGTGTAAAAAAGTCGAACAGGAGCGCTTCACAAAAATGAACTGAAACTCAGCGAATACTTGCCTCACAGACATGATAAATATATCTAAATACTAATCTAAATACTATCTATATACTAAAAACACATCTGTTCCACCTTTATTTGACCCTCTAACTCTATTT